TTGCACAATAACATTTGGCTAGATGTCAAATGTCTGGAAAGAAAAACTGCTTGAGTATGGATTTCAATCCATATGTAAATCATAATTCAATCTAATGGTTTGCCCCCAGAGTTTTAAAATATGAAATAAAAGAGAAAAAATGTATTGGTCTACATAACACACATAAATAATTGTTTTGTGAAACTTATATTTCATTTATAATGTATATGTGTGTGTGCATGCCTAAAAATGCCAAATTTGACTTTAGATGATGGTATAAAATGTTTTAAAAACATTGCCTTAAATTTTAGGTAAATTATCTTGCTATGCCAAACAAATGTTGTATACTGCTAATGTTTGTAACACTGCATGTTTTTCACGTCTTTGCCATTGGAATGCCCCTTTATCCTCCAAGTCTTAATTCCTCCCTTGGTGACTTCATCTCTAATTATGCCAGCTCAGTGATTTCTCTGAAATTGTAGATCTTGCCCACCCTTAATCATTACTACCGTTACATTTGTATTATGCTACATTATTAAGCCTTAATTTTAAGCATTTTTACATATAAATGGCTGAGGTTGGGGCTAGGAATTCTAAATTTTGTTTACTTCCTAGGGTGCCTAATATCACACTGTGCAGATAATTGTAATTCAATTGGTTATGTTGATTACACCATTAAAGTAATTAATAAAAGGGGAAAGATTAGTTGGAACCTTTTAGTATTTTTACTTTTATCATACCATTAAATGTTATAATGTTTCAATTAATCTAACCTTGTACAAAGATGTTTTTTTGAAAAATGATGCATTATTTTAAGAGAGTTTTCTTTAGAAAGTTGCTCCTTTTGTAGGTTATATATGAATTTTCTATCTTTATGATATTAAGAAATTCATATTTTTACTTTGATGGCATTAAAAGAAAAACACTAATTTGCAATAATAATGGAACATTTTTCTGTTTGAGTGATGATGATTAACAAAATGTGCATGTTTTCTCAAAATGAACATTACTAAGTAGTGCTCCTCCTTCATACCCAATCAGCACATGAAATACAGGTGAGATAAAATGAAGATTGAAATGAAGAGGAGGCCTCCTGATACTGGTAGCAACTGATATAGAAATGGTAGTGCTCGACTATAATTGATAAGTCCAATGATAAGGACACCAAAGATAATTTTTTCTAGAAAGCAAGAAAAAAATATTGAAGAGTAGTTTGCTTGATCCTAAAGTTCACTTATACAATTCTATGTAAAAGTCTTCATGTTATATTACCCTGTAGCTCAGGGAGTAACATATGCTTCATTCTATCTTCTTTAAGAAGAGAGAAAATGTCCATAGTCATTCAATCCCATGAGCTAATATTTATAATTATAGCTACCATAATAGTGAAAAATAATTGCTTGATGTTAATGGTGATAAGAATAAATGGTTAGGTGCAGTTTAATTTACATTTTTCATGCTATTTTATAAAGTTTGTCTATTTTTTTCATGCTATTTTATAGTGTTATCTATTTTTTTCAAGAAGATCATCAGGAAAAAATGAGTGCCTTAAAAAGATACAACTTTAGGATTTAGAAGCCTAAAATTTATGTCACTTGTTGCAAGTACCACAATCAATGGATCATACACGATAAGGGAGGCATTCATGTAATTCTTTAAGAGTCCTATGAACTAAAATATTTGAAGTTTTGCCCTGTGTTTGTTGAATCTAACAATCAAAAGAAGAAAACATCATTCTCTGGGGTTAGTTTGTTTTTGTACTGTTTTAACCTTTACTGACAGCAAATAAGATGTGTAGATCCAGTCTGTCTGTGTATTCCCTAAGGCATCCCTCTGTCCCCGGAGTCAAAAGAGATGATGTCAGGATTTTCCATGTTTTCATTTCTCTAACAATGTATAAGGCTGACACCACATATTCAAGAAGAAAAGAATATTCATGATGATAATCTAGATGTAAATTATCCTTAGCCAATCTCCAGAGTAACTTAATACATTAGTTGTAATGGATATATGCATAAAGACTACATCAATGTTCTGTATATTAAGGTTTTGTTCATTAGAAAAAAATCACTTTACTGAAGTTAGATATTGGGGCTAATTGTTTTTCATTTTTACATAATAATTGCAAAAGTAAGTCTGCTTTCCTCACTTATGTTGAAACATTCTTGAAGTACATTAATTGACTTGTGATTTCAACAAGATGAAGCTTTTTAACTTTACTTTTGATGCTTTGCTTAGAAATCCAAGGGATTGGGAAGAGCAGAAACAGCAGATGAGAGATGGGTTTCTAAGATTGAAATATGTTTTTACCTGCTTAAAAATGCTCCATATATTTTATTTCCAGGGGAATTAAAATCCACAGAAGTTTTGAAGTAAGCATTATTTGCTGGATGTCTATAATGGCATTATGACTCTTTCTCCTCATATTAATGTGTTTCAAGATTCTATAAATTTTTAAAAAGTAGATTAAATGCTTTCATATTCTATAAGGATATCAATCTTCCTTATTGTTTTTGGAGAAGATTATAATGAGGGGGAAAAAAGCCATTTACTTCACTCTATTACAAAACTCCATGACTGAATCTTGTAAAGTTCTAATTTTTATATTTCGGATATATTTCAAAATAGTTCAGTTGGTAAAAGATGGCATTTTTATTGCCTCAGTCAGTGCTTCCTAAGGCGTATTTACCTCCATTCTTCATTGAAAGAAGTTGTAAAACGATTCCAGACTTTCGGAATTATGGAGCCAAGAGTTAAATACAGGAAAAAGAGCTGTACTTCTTATTCTCAGAGAAATCTCTGCCTCCTCAATGAGAAGACTGCAGCCTTTGCTTTCTCAATAAGACTTCTTATAGTCAAATGAAATCATTTAACATTTTTATTCTCACATCTTTCTATCCAGTTTGGTAGAATTTCTCTTGATACATATTTGAAGCATTAAACTCTGTTTGAGTTCCACTTCTATAGAGTTAACCAGATGTTAGGATGTCGTTCCAGGAATATATGAAGTCAAACTGTCTGTATCCCAAATCCTCTTCTTGACAACCTATATATAGGAGAACGTGTCAGCACTTGTGTATTCAGGATAAATGGCAAACAAGGTCTAGCAGAGTACAAGTGTGAGGGCTGAGGATACTGAGCTAAGCAAGGACACTTTCTGTTCACTGGAGGTTGGTTTTTGCCTGTGTTTCCATGAGGTAGCTTTGCACCCTCCCAATTAATGGATGCAAAGTGGGTCTTCACTCCAAGGCAAAAAGAAACACAGATGACTTCTTTACATCTTCCTTCCCTGCGTCAAGACTTAGTGAACTTTGGGTGAAGTTTGTAAAACCCAGATCATCTGAAAACAGATAATTTGCTTGAGTTATGAGGTATCCAATTACAAACTGTTTTTTGTTTTCTATTTGTGAGAATCAGTGATTTGGGGGACTTTCCTGTTTTCATGTATGTTTCAATCCTTTAGTATGATTTAGCAAGATGTTTGAGGAGATCTTTAAGAGATTTCAGGGCAGCTGAATTTCACACTCTAGGCAAGGGAGATGAATATTCCAGTCCTTGCTTTAAGGGAGAATTAGGGACTTATTATGGGGTTTTCTTAGTTTCGCAAACACAGCAGAGAAATCTTATAGTTTTGGCTTCCTGCCATGCCCTGCGAATAAAGGAGTAGGATTCAGTTATTTACAGGACTTTTTCCCTTGAGATATTTAATTCTAGTTCACCTTAACTCATTACTGATTCATGGCCTTCTGTTCAGGACTAAGTGATGACGGAGGAGCAATATGAGCTGTGAAGCTGCAAAGTTTGCTGCAGACTCTTCCATCATCCCACACTTTTGGAAATTTGTTGTCAGGAAATCCTCTCAAGACATTGCCTTTTGTTCGTCTCTTCCATCCATTCCCACAGGTGCTTTTTTATTCTCTTTATTTTTTATTAAATCATAGTTGTGTATATTAATGCAATCATGGGATACAATGTGCTGGTTTTACACACAATTTGAAATGCTTTCATCAAACTGGTCAACATAGCCTATGCAGCATTTTCTTAGTTATTGTGTTAAGACATTTATATTCTACATCTAGTAACTTTCACATGTACCCTTGTAAGATGGGTACTTTTTGCTATTATGGTCAGCTGGTAAAGGGATTTCATTTACTATTCATGTACTGTTACACAGTACTCTGTTTTTATTAAGCACCCATCCATCAAATGCCTTGAAGTTCATCTCTTTTTCTATTACCTAATGGCAATTGGCTTTGACTTAAAGGGGAGAAATGGACCCACTCAGCATACCTGGCAAAAGTAGAGTCTTAGACTAGATGGCTAAAGTAGTTTCTCGGCCAAGACTCTTGGCCACATCATGAGAACAGTATGTAATTATCTACTTTAGAGCTAACCCAGGGTACATTCAAACCATCATTTTTAAAAATGGATTTACAATTACCTCTGTGGATAGGTGTTTATTAATTGAGTCTTGTCCCTTTAGAATGTGAGGTGACTATGTCAAATGAAATACTTTGAAGCTAATCCCAGCTAATTTCCTGAGACTTTATTTCTCGGAATAACAGAAACACAGACTTGTTTACCTAAAGACCATGCTTAGAGTCCAGGAGATAAGAAAGTTGTATGGATAGTTAGCAGTCATGGTATAAAACAAAATGGAAATTATTAGTTTATGTAAATTAAACATAAACTATAACTTTACATGTTGTTACTATGAGCCCGAGTCAGACTTGTACCAGCCCAAACTTAACTCAATGTTAAGAAGGGCATTTTTCTATTTTATCACTCCTTAGACTCCTTTGGGATTTTTGTTTAATTCAGCAGCACCAGGGTCTAACCTACTGAATACTGATAGAGAGCACAAGCAAAGAAACATACGAACAACTCTGTACAATATTCATATCCAAGAGTCATTGAACTAGTTTGTATGAAAACTTCTCGGTGCTTTTAGGTTGAATGAGTGAGTAGGTGACAAAGGGAGGGAGATTACACTATCAAATTATTAGACACAAAAGCAACTATTTTTTCAGCATTGCCTTGATTTATTCTCCTAGTATTTTTTTCCTCTGATGGGAAAATATTTCATCAAGAAAACAAATATTTCTCCTAAGTGGAAAACTTTCATGTTTTAATGCTTTAGTTTAAAAAAAAAAATCAACATTAAACTAGGACATGCTTCACCTCCCCCTCCCCAAAACCACTATCTTATTAAGTACTTGAAAAAAAAAATCCATTGGCAGAAAACAAGATAATTTTCTCAAATAGAGTGATTACATTTTATTGCTGCTTTGTTTAGTATATATATTTTTTTCAATTGGGAAAAAAATTCTAGGTGAAAAAAATGTACCTAACAAGAAAAGTAGTTTACATGGTCATAACATTTAAATTGCTGTCAAAAGAAAAAAAAAAGTAAAATAAAAAAAAGAAAAGTAAAATATCATATAGCTTCAAAAAACTTACCTCCATTGTCTATCATTTATCATGTACTATAAGTCAACTTCCTAAATAGGATTACAGTCCTTTATTATAAGCCCCTAGTGGTACTATGGTATACATTTAAAAAATGCTACTACAAAAATTTTCTTTTCTTTGTTTTTGCCTATTGTGTACTTAGCTATAGATAATTCTTGAATAAAAAGCCTACAGTAGGTATAAATGCAATAGTTAATTGATCCTCTTGCTGATGTCCTTCTTATGCTCCACAAACGGTGGCGTCTTTCAGTCCAGCATCTTCTCCTGCTTCTTGCCTTCCTTTTTCTTCTTCTTGGATTCTGCTGTGATTAAAAAAAAAAAAAAGAGAGAGAGAAAGAGAAAAATAAGTGTTAAGGTACTAAGCTTTAGGGAATAAATAGCCATGTTTTTAATCTTTGGCCAGGAATGGAAAGATTAGATCAAGAGATAAGTTGCTTGCTCTTGGCAGTTGTCTTGGTTAAGCTAAGAAACAACAGTGTGTGTGTGTGCGTGCGTGTGTGTGTGCACGTGTGTGTGTGTGTGTTAAAAGAGAACCCGAGAACCTGTGAAAGTAGGCAAGAACCCAGACTACTTTCTGTGTAGATACCTACACAGAATGCGTGGTCTTATACTGGGTGCCTTCATTTGATATGCAGATTGCCCTGGAGACCTACTTAGAATATTGCAACATAGCAGGCATTTCCTAGAGAATGTCCAGGTCATGCTCAGGGGAGGGACTCCTCATCTTGGGTAAAGTAAATGGAATATGCCAACCTGGACTAAACTAAATAAGTAAAACGCTGAGGATCTAAGTTAAAGACACCTTCCTTTTCATTCAATCATCTTGCTGCCTCTGTTTTCCTAGCTAGATGATACAACATAGAACAGGACACATTCACTGTGGCTCCAAAGATGGGAGAATTGCTGGGCAAGGAAGGGAGAAAATATTGTTAAATACTCCTACACCATGTTCCCCTTTTGTTGACAGGAGTGGTAGAAACATTATTGGTTACGTAGAGGCTCTGGGCCAGACTGCCCAGGTGTAAGCTCTGGCTGCACCACTAAGTTGATATAAGACTTCGGGGAAGCTACTAAACGTATTCATGTTTCAGATCACTCACTTTTAAATGGGCATATGGATAGCACCCCATCATATGATAGTATTTATTTGTGTCCAAATAAAAAGAGTTGCGTAAAACCCACTGAGAACAGAACATAATACAATAGAATGTACTTAATAATAGTCATCAGTTATCATGAGTGTCATAACAAACTAAGAACAAGATGTCATGAATCTGTATAATTAACATTTTTTATCATCACCAAGACATACTTACTGAGCAGGACAATGAATATACTAAGCAATACAGGATCACCAGGACAAAAACAATGACTAATAAGAAAGAAGGCATTGTTTACTGGAGCGTGGAGCCTGTGTGCAGGAGGCCCTAGGACTTACAATGAGAGAAGACCTGATACGATGCCCACCACACATATGCAAACAGAGCTGGAAACTTTTCCCTTCTCATATACTATTCTCATCACCTGTTAAACTAAGTCCCAAAGTCCATTATGCACTTGGCAAAGTAGTGTTTCTGGTCAGTGTAATTGTCCTAAGTTTTCTTTACTCGAGCTTCAGGATGTATCGTAGGCAATAGGGTCAGCAGCTTCCCAGTTCTTGCTAAATCGTTGCCCACAAACTTATTCATTCTGTTCACGCCTGTACTCAGCTTTCTTGTTTCTGTATGAAATGATTCAATCTTGTTTTTATAACTGTCTCTTTCTTTCAAACTATGACGGGAGATATAACCAGAATTTCCAATTCAAAGATAACTTGTAAAGTCAAAGATAGCTGTAAAGTCAAAGACGGTATTCTATTCAATGCCTGAATACATAGTCAGCGTGTGAACTTTTAATAATTCCCAGACTTTGGTTCACATTTTAAGCAACAGCTGTATGTTAAGAGGGTATCCCCAGGGAATAATTCAGGATGTCAATTGAGACCTAACTCTGACTTCTGTTGTCTCAGTTTCCTCATAGTCCTCACCTGGGAATCTCCAGTACTTTATAATCTTCTAGCTCTTCAGTAGTGGAGATGACTGCAGCAGTAATTTTGTTGTTTTAGCTAGTGTGTCCCTATTTCAGACATCAATCTGAGAAGATGCCGTACTAATCAGGTTTCGTATACATTAATTTCATAAAAATTGAAGTTGTTCTGAATATTGGACACTTTTATCTAGCTAACATAGGTTGTCTATTTCAAGGAATACTTTAGGAATAGGAATCTTTTCCCAAATTCCCTTTGGTAAAGATAAGAGCACACCGTTTCTCTATTACCAGAACCAGACACATATTTTTTATTTACTAAATTGACAACTTTCCAAATACCAGGAAATCTATCACTGGCCTATTAATTTGTGCCATGCTAATCGACTGGTTTTCCTGTCACTACCGGCAGGTCATCATAGCACCACATACCCACACTGTACACCTCCATCCACTCTGAGTTCAAGCTTCAGTAAAAAGGAATGGAAAGAGGTAATAATTTGCATTTGCAAAAAGGTCAGTTTGATTTCTCACAAAAGTGTCTGAATTTTCACAAATAAATAAAATCAGGTCAGTAATATTGCTTCTAATGTAAAGAAGTTTTTTCTCACTTTTATGTATATTTAACCAATAGAATAAATGAAACTTTGCCACTGCTTCTCTCTGTGGCTTGAAGAGCTTGTTAACAACCTCTCAATTTTTACTTAGTGTACACAAAGGTTTTTAAAGACCACAGTAAATCTATGATCTAGAAAGAACTCAAACTAGCTCCCTTATGTAATAGATAAAGAAAGAAAAACATTTAAATCACCTCATTTTCTTTCAGTCTTCACACTTGTGTTTATTTCAGTTCCCCCAAGAACGTTTCTCTCTCTTCCTCCCTCCCTGCATCCCTCCCTTGCTCTCTCTCTCTCCTCTTTGATCTTCAACCCTACTCTTCCTTCCCACAGTTTCACTACTACCTTTGTCTGGCCAATGCCTCCCGCCTTCAGGCCCCATCTTTGACATGACTTCTAGTTTGTTGACTCCTCTGCTTGAGTCAGAAGCCTTTTTCCTTTACTTCTCTCATGAGAAAACCCACCCCTAGTATTGTAATTGCCACCATAGTAGAAGCTGTGGGAAGGCAGAATCTCTGCCTCCTGCTGTACCTCCAGCACATAGCACGGTGCCTTGTGCATAATAGCTGATGAGTAAATCTGTAGTGAGATAAACAGACCCGTAGCATGGCAAGAGCACATTTCTCCCATCTGTCTGTCTTATGGAGGTTCCTTAAATTTTCTTTGTATCTTTCTATCTTCCACATTATGTTCTCTCTGCCAGAGCGTGAGTGTTTTTCCTCCTGCTACCCCAACTTTGCTCAACAAACACCTGCTCCTCCTTAAGATGTTAGCCTCAGTTTTACTTCCTCAGGGGAGCCCTCCCAGAACTCCCAGACTAAGCAGGTTCCATTCCTAGACACTCCCATCGTGTCTGTCATTGTATTTACCAAAATTAGAATTGAACTTTCCCTTTTGTCCTTAATTATTTAATAGACATCTTCCTCTTCCTATGAGAGTAGAGACCAAATCTATCTTTTATCTTTTACATCTGTATTTTTCAATGCCTCCTACCTGACATGTGCTCATGAAATACTTGTTGCATGCAGAGTAGATAAAGGAAGACTTGAATGGGAAATAAAGAGTCAGCTCTGACTGTACGGGAAACCAGTATCTCTCAAGGACAGTAGGAGGAGAAATGTAATCAGAATCTTGCCACATTTCAGTCTATCTTTAGAAATAAATATTTAGAGTAAATATTTTACAAAGAAGAACATTATAAATGTATATATAAGATATTTACCCAGATTTCTTAACACTTTATCTTGCCTTTAAAGTGGAGGGATGAATGAACTCTGTAAGTAAAACTTGTGTCCCATTTTAATAGCCTTTCAAGGTTACAGTGAGAGAAATGTTTATAGGGAGCAAGAGGTGTACACACCGTCCTGGTGGTATCACAGGGGAAAGCCATATCTCAGGTACTCCAGAACGTTTGGGGCACCAGTAGGATCCCCACACTGATGTGAAACAACAGGGTATTTTTAGTTCACACTTAATAGAGTGAAAACTAGGGCAGGAAATATACACATGGTACACATCAAGTGACACTCCAAGATACATGTCCCTCTTCCCCTCCTCGAATGAGATAGCAAAGCAGAAATGATGCAAATAGAGAAGGAGCCACTGGCAAAATGTGACAGTAGAGGCACCTGCCTGAGAGGTGCCTTGTTGGATTCCTAAGGGGACATCACTGCACTGGAATCACAGCTGTGCCCTTTTGATTGTTTTAACCTCCCGGGTTTGCAAACATTCATCTTTTCTTTGGCCTGTTTATGAGTTGATAGAAGATAGTACTCATAATAATTGGGATATGAAGATGAGAGAAGATGGCTGTTGTGGAAAACTTTGTATTATTTGAATAAGAATAGATTGTTTTGTTTAAGATATGTTTGAAAGTGTTCAGAAAGTCCTAAGAGTTTCCTAAGGGAAGAAAAATATTCTAGAATAGATTCAGGCTACTATTTAGAAAATTCAAAATTTAGCCAAGAAAATTCTTTCAATGCATAGCAACTGCTGATAGGGAAGAAGACAGACAATGAGAAGAGAGTAGGAATTAATGTGAATCAGGCTACAGTAAGTTCTGAGCCCCACTTTCTTTCTGTTCTGAATTAAAAAAAAATAAACTTGATGAACACTAATGTAGTAAGTGGCATCAGGGTCCTTTGGTTCAGTGAGACAATGAGGGGACAACGGAGTTTTGTTAGGATCACACTGAGAACAAAGTGCTAACCTAAACAAGTGGTTCACATTAATGTCTGCTACTTACCAGACCTGTGATGTCGGGCAACTCAATCATTCTGCCTCTGTTTCCTATGAACCCGGGATAATAAAACCTGTATCCTACTCGTAGGACCACTGTGAGTACTATGTGAGATTATGACCATTTTACCACTACTGCTCAAAAAACATTCATGTCTTCATTTAGCACATGTGCAATTCATACTTGCTATCTATCAGGCACTGTTCTAGATGTATAAAGATAGATGAGCAAGACACAATTGTATAAAGATGTGTAACGATGAACAGCACACAATTCTGTCCTCCTAGAGCTGACATTACAAATCAGCTTTTTAAGATTGATGTGTGGGTGACCCTTCTGAAATTGCAAAGTTCTCTGAGAGCACACATAGTAGAATCTCTGAACGTTGACCACCCAAGGAGCTGTAACAAACTGGTCA